AGATAGTTGAGGCTTTGGGGTGCACTCTGTCCTAAACAGGACTAGCGGCACCACATGGCAGCCTTAGGCAGCCGTAGGTATCCGCTCGGCCCAGAAAGGAAAGCGGATTAGTTATGGGGAGTGACTTATTCATCTAATTATTATCCACGAGCCATTCGATTCCCACCCCTCCGCCATCTTCGTCCCCTGTTGCCTTCCCCTCTTCTGATTGCTAGTTTACTTGTTTAATTCCCCGGGATCGGCTATCGCTGCCCGTCTATCTTTACACCCGTTTCTGCCCTTTTCCCCTGTCCCTCTTTTGCGTGGTCCGGGGTTGAACTGGTTTCGATTGTCGGTCCTTCCTTGCCGACACCTCGGGTTGAGTCGTCAAAAAGTCTGCGTGGGCGATATCGGTGCATGGTCTCCTACGTAAGTCCCTTGCTCTGTCCCGGGATCCTACGAGTTCAAACCTGGCTGTTGAGACTGGCGGGGACCTTGGATGCCCTCGTGGCTGGTCTCCCTCCAAACTCTGTGTGGTTCCGGGTGCCAGCGTTGGGAACATGACAACTGACTTGTGGGTGCCAATCCAGTGCGGTCAAGGGTCATCTCCGTATTGCTCCTCCACACCCCTCCTCTTCCCTCCGTATCCACGCCGACCAGACGGAACTGGCTATAGAGTATCGTGTTGGGGATAGGTTGGCCATCGAGGAATCATAACAAAATTAATTGGAGGGAAGGGTTGTCTCTAAATTAAAGCAAAGGGAACCATCCGGGGAACTTGCCGGGTTGGGCTACAAGGAGGCAAACCGCCATTCGGCTGTGGTTGTGGAGGTCGAGAGAGAGAGCCGAGAAACTGCCATCATGACTGCTACGCTGAGTATGTCTTTTACCAAGGATGTCTGTTCCTCCGGGGAAGTAGCGTCTGGCCTTGTTGGTGCGTACAATTGACGGGTTGTCCCCCGATGATGGATCCGCGAATTCCTGGGCGGTTCTAGAAATCAGGGTTCTGCTGGCTGCTCAGTTGCTGATACTGCTCACCTGCAGATGGGATGTTTAATTCGGCCCCAGATACACCGTCCCCTGTCTACCCAGATAGGCTCATCCGCCCTCTGCCCAAGCGTACCCTCCGCTCTCGCCTATCCTCTGAAGCGGCCGACTCGATCCTCTTCCCACCGGCCCCTCCTGCCACCCAGCTGTTCTACGGAACCTCTGTGGACAGCGCAGATATAGTAAATGACACCAAAGTGTATGTGCAGCAGAGCGACGGTCGCGACCAAAGCCCTGAGCGTGACCATTTGCCGTATGAGAATGGGGTGGAGCTGGAGAGCGGTGATGAGGATGGGCCCGTAGTTGTGCGTCGAAGTGCTGGTTTCCGCGGGTCGTCATTGTCCCCCTCTGCCGCCTCCAGTGCCCCTCCTCAGACGCTGCCCAGCAACAGTGAAGGGCCTCTAGTGAAGTCCTCCTCGGCGGGTCCCGATGGGTACGATGCGTTTGAGAACACCAACAACAAGAAGAAGCGCAAAATTCCTACACCCGGCAACCTCAGCAGTCACCACTCCACCCTCTCTCCAGAGTTCTCCAGCATGGGCCTCGCGACGTCTTTTCAGTCCCCTTCCACTGCTGGCGAAGGCAGCCATGTGAGTACCTTCTATGGCACGGGCAGCCCCGCGTCTCCGATCTCCAGCGGCATGTCCGGTGCGGGACGAGGTCGCCTTGGCCGCCAGCCGCAGCGTGGTAGCACGGGGAGGAACTCCTTATCGCTTCATTCTCCCATCAGTTGGCCTCGGACCCCTACGCGGCGCGATGGCCTGTTGTCGTCCCCGGGACCAGCAGGTATGTTTCTGTTGTGTGTCTGACCGAGTGTTCGGGCTTCGCTTACGCACGTTTAGGTGACTCCGCCCCGAAGCCAGACCAGGGCATAATCTCCGCCGCTATCGCAAATGCCGCCGCTTCAGCATTCTCCTCACCTCCTCCTGGACCCGGTCATGTCAGCATGCTCGAACGACAAACGCCTACGCCGACCAAGACTCAGTTCACCTTCACATGCGAGTCGGACTCGTCGAAAGGAATGGCCCTGCAAGCACAGAACCCGTACCCCGCGCAGCATCGGTCACCCAGTGCTCTCACTGCGGCTGTCCAGAGCCAGCGGGGCTATTCACAAGGCACCCAGACGATCCCAAATGTCGCTTCGCAAGTCAACTCATCAGGGGCATCTCAACAGTCACAGCACTCGCAACCGCCGCAACTACCAAATGCTGGGACTGAGCCTGCAGCCACGGGGAGGAAGAAAAAGCGGTCTCCGGGTAGCCTCTATGCTCTGGCCGCGCGTCAACGCAAGATCCAGCAGCAGTATGCCAACCTTCACCACCCGCCCAGCATCGAGGACATCTGGATCTGCGAGTTCTGCGAGTATGAGAGCATCTTTGGGCACCCGCCTGAGGCTCTCATTCGCCAGTATGAGATCAAAGATCGCAAGGAACGGAAACGATTGGCGGAGAAGAAGCGGTTGCTCGAAAAGGCCAAGATGAAGGGCCGTAAGGGCAAGAAAGCGACTAAGAATGCCAGCAAGCACGCAGCGGCTCAGCACGCAGCCTATGACCAAGGATACGACCGAGCGTCTGTGGATCATTCTTCAACCGGAGGAGGACCAGGTGTGCATGATGACGAGTATTTAGGCAACGAGTACGAGGACGAGGGCATCCCAACCCCACCTCCAGTGCCTCCAGGTTCCGTCAAAAATGCACCACCGCCAGGACATCCGCCCAAGCCAGCCGCAGCAGCAGGGTCGGGCGCTAAGAGTGCAGCGGACGGCGGGACAAGACCGCCCTGACAATGGAGCAACGGCTATCGAGCTAGCGAGCGGTGATAGGCCGTTGCACACTCTTCCTTTCGGTTTTCTCTTTGTCTGTTTTCGATTTAATGCATGCTTACTTTCTTCCACAACTATTAATTTTCTCTTCTATTTCTTTTCTATTGCATGATTGTGTTAGCCTTCTGCTTTTCTTTTTGCCCATTACTTGCATGAATGAATCCCCGCTCCGGTCGATGAATGTCACGTCAGCGTCATACATGATTATTTCAGGTTCAGGTTGGAATTGTTGAGCAGCATCAATGTATGTTGGAGGCTGTGATTGGAGGAGAGACGAATGGACGGACAGATGAGAATTAGGGGGGTCTTGAGGTCTCGGTATTATGCATGCAGAGGGAACATGGATGGATGGATGGGATGGAACGAGTTGGTGATACTATTTTAGTCCGTAGCGCTAATGTAGATCAGATCCCACGATGCGAGACGGGATGAGAGAGTAAGAAAGAAAGGAATCCATGTTTTGCTCTGTTGAAGATTGATCGTTCCACTAGCCGCCAAGCGTAACCCCAAACCTCCCACCCGACCAACCCCGTTCCAAGCTTCTAAACTCCACGAAGGGCACGGCGCTTCGCCCACCAACCATACACACCACTTCCCCCATGATCAACGTATTTGCCGTCCCTCTGCAGCTTTGAAACTATGATTGCATGAACTGGCGCGCTCCCTACACAGCTGTCAATCAGTTCCTCAATATCTAAAAGTATACAGTTACCGCCGACAGACATGGCAGTTTCAGCCCAGCGACGCGAACCAAGCTTCCGAGTGTGTAATTGGATGGCTTAAGTTCTGCTGAAGATATTGATGAGGATGAGGATGATAAAAATAGATGTGCTGGGTGTCTTGGTATTGGGTTGATGGTTATATAAAGAGAGTGCAGAAGGGATGGGTTGGTTTAGATTGTTCAGCAGCAGAAAGCATTCTTTATTCTTTATTCATCTCTCTCTATAAGTTCTTTCTTTGAGAATCTCCTTTGTTTAGACAGTGTCTATTGTTTCGACGTGAACGATCACTACTACTACTATCTACTATTGCCAAATTTCTTCTCTCTTTGATTGACCACTTTCCTACTCCTACATACTAAACACTACTACTCGTTACATATAACTGTGATTGATCGTGACATTATCTTGCGCTGGCGCAATAATCTCTCACCTCGATACATACACACACATACACACTCAACACACATACATATCTCTCCCTCCCTACCAAACAACCACCACCAGTACCACACCACACCCCAAAACAAAACCAACAAAATGTACCTCCTCGCCTTCCGCCTCATCCGACGCATCTTTTCCAAATCCAAAAAATCCAACAATCAAGACCCCACCGGCATCAATCTCGACTACCCACCCCCACCTCAATCCAACATCCCCCGACGCCCCCGTCTAAAGCACTACACAGAGCTCTTCCTACACATCCTACAAGCCGTCTTCGGCCTGACCACCATAATCCTCTACGGAATCGACATCCACCACGCGCACGAAAAGTCCGAGTCGGCAGATGCACGCTGGGTGTACGCCATCGTGACGGGGATGATGGGGTGCGGGACGGCGCTATTCTACCTGGTTATGATGCACTGGGTGTTGAAGACGCGGACGCCGTTGGCAATGCGCGAGAGGTGGAATCTGCCGCTATTTGTGTGGGAGGCGGTGTTGTGCGTGTTTTGGTTGACGCTGTTTGGCATCTTTGGGAAGTTGTATATTGGGGATTATGAGGATAGTAGTAAGGTGACGCGGATGAGGCGTGCGGTTTGGGTGGATTTGGTGGATTTGGTGCTGTGGGTGGGGACGGCGTTGTGGAAGGGGATGAGGTGGTGGAGAGGGCAGAGGGGGGTGTTTGGGGTTGATGGGGTGGAGGAGAAGGAGGGGGTTTAGGTGGGTTTGGGTTGGAATTGGTTTGTTGGGGAGGGGGGGCTGGTGGTGGTATTGGGGGTGGGATGAGGGAGGGAAAGGGAGGAAGAGGAACAGATGGGTTATGAGATTGGTGGGAGGATTGTTGGATTATTATTGTATTTTGTATTAAGCACTGAGTGCATGCGTCGGCGCATGAGCAATGTCTTGAGATCTAAAAAGATAGCTGTGAATCGCATATTGCATCTTTCTTTCTGATCGAGCTGTCATGTCAGTACTCTTTTTCTCTTATTCTACTACTCTCTAATCTCTTCAATGACCTCTTCTGTTTCTTGATGACCCTCTTCTCCCCCCTGCAGTCGACTCTGCTCGATCATCACACTAAGCTGGCTTTGTCTGCGTGGCATCGAAAAGTTGGTCAACACTGGAGACACTTCCTCGTCCGTACTGCCCTGACTGTCAGTTGCAAACGAATCATCATGGTTTGAAGACCGCCGGAAAGGAACGGCAGAGCTTGGGGCCGTGGACGCCTTTCCGTGTGAATCCCCGAACCGGGATGGGGATGGTGTGGCATTAGTGACAGTGCTGCTTGATTCAGCCCGTACTGGTTTGGGTGGGATCGTCTTGGGTTTGGTCTCTGGCTCAGGTGTTCCTAAAGAAGAAACCAGGACTTGTTCCTGGCGTACTCGATCCGAGAATCGCTTTCTGAAGTTCTTGTCGACAAGTTTCATGCTAGATGGTTGCTCGTAGTTCTCCGCAGACAGATATCGTGCATCATAGCGGCGACACCCAGTAGCCGAAAAGAAGTTGGGTTCAGGTAGGGAAGGTTCGACTGCATAAAATGCTCTGCGACGTGGAGGCGGCGGCTTAACATATGCCTCCTCTGGCCGATCCGTGTCGAGAAGCTCTCTTAGGTCAGATAGAAACAACTCCGGGAGTTCCGGGCGTCTTTCGAGTTGTGCCTTTTCGCCCTGGACCGGATCCTTCTCGGGTGTATCCTCTTCAAAAAGGCCGTTACCGGTAAGCTCGGTCTTGTCTCTTGGGGATACGGTAAGGTTTGGACGAAATTTGCTATGGCTTCTCGACAAAGGCTCCGCCTCATCGATTTCATATGCACCAACGGTAGCCTTTGACGCACTGCCAAGTTCCTGAATTGGTTGGTTTGGGGTATATTCCAGAGTCAGCTGCGGTGAGTCTGGTGGTGGACTATGGGCACGGGTAGAACTGGTACCGGACGACTGCTGTGAGGACTTGCGCCGCATGATCACAGGCCGACGCTTGCTACTTTTTGCCTTGCTAGCCACAAAAACCGCTTTCTTTTGCGTCTGTCGGGGCGCAGTGTCTCCCATTGTAGGCACTGATGGAGGAACCGGTGTAGGGGGATTTGATGGTTTGCGAGTGGTACTCTGCCCGTCAATGTCCGTTAGAAGCAGACGAGTCGTCTTATGTGTTTCTCCGCTGGAACTTCCGTTTCTGGGCTTCTTAAGTATGGGGTGAAGTGGTGCCTTCCCGTTGTTACCAGCCGGCCTCCCCGAGCCCCCTTCATGGTTCCCCTTGGATGACTGGGCTGCTTGGGCTGCTTTGGTCGCCTGTCAAAGTTAGCACATGTTCCCATCGATGCCACCGTAAGCCGCGATAATCCTCGCGATATCCCTCACCTTGCTCAACTGCACCAAACTAAACGGGTTGGGCTCGGAAATACGTAGGAACAGACTGGCCAGCGTAGTTCCCAGGAGAGTATGGTTCAGACAACGACTCCCCCATATCCTCCAGAAGAAGTTCTCCAGCCTGTATCCCACGTCGTCATCATGCGCTGATGGATTGGCACTGTAGACTATTGCGCTATGAGACACGTTGCATTCGCGAGAGGGGAAGGCGCAGGACAAACCCACCTTTCCAAAGCTGCACGACATCCCCAATATTCACCGGACCCACGCCATCTAGCTCCGTTGATACCTTTGTCGCCGTGGTCAGTAAGCCTTTGGGGAGACTTTCCATGGTGAGAGATGCCGAGGCCGCAGTCTAGCTCAAAAGTAAGTAAGGCCCCAACACAGCTACATGATCAAAGGAACAACGAGGCAGAAGGTTCGCTGTGAGAGAATGTTGAGGTCAGTACCAACAGCACTGCCCGGTAGATGCTGTCAGTGTTGCGTCTGGCGGTGAATTGAGGGGCAGGGTCGCCCGCCAAACGCAGGGGGTGGGGAGGAAAAGGGATCCTCCAGGTGGTAAGTAATCGATCGCGATAAGTGGCTGGTAAGAAGAGGGCAGGCCAGCGAAGAAGCGAGTCAGGGGAGATTCCGTTGTATTTGAAGACGGCGTTGGTTGGTGGGCGGGACTGGGGGAGGGATCAGCTGCAAGGGCAGGAGCGAAGACACGCCGGAGATCTTCAACCTGCAGGGCTTAATAGTCGTTGAGGCAAAAGATGGCCGCGTCCAGGTGACCCTGCCAGGCCCCATCCAGGCAACATCATCTCCCCTCTTCCCCCATTCATCCACTCACTCCCCCCATTCATTCACTTGCGCCGCGCTGACTGCAGCCTGCAGGTCTGCATTCCCCAGGGGGAGGTAAAAGTTGACCTGTCCGTTTTGCTGCCTTACCCCGGAGCTTGCCGATGCTGCCCAGTGAATGGGAAACAAAAGAAACCATCCGAGACAGCACAGGCCATCATGAACAATAGTGCCCAAAATGGGTGGATCCCGCACCTCAAATTCAGTGAACTAGCTGTGGTACTGACCCAAAGCACAAATGAGTCGTCACAGAAAGATGGATCACACTGTTCGTAACCATGGTTATCAGCAGTCATCCAACCAGGTCGGATGGAACCAGTGCTGCCGTTCATTCTTGTCGGATTTACCAGCAAACATCACGACACCCGCTGTTAGCGCCCCCCGTGACCAACGGCATCCAAAAGATCTCCCAATCGGAGGCCCCCGATTGGCTTCGGGACCGATTCTCTCTCCCTCATACTCCGGGTTGCCATCGTTCAAGGGGCTACACTGGCAAGGATCCAGGAAGAAACAAACAGACGACCGACGGTTTGTTGGTCCCCCTATATATGACTAAGCTATGCGCATGGGAAGGGCAAACGATACATTGCAAGAGAACACAGCAGCCAACTCGAGGACACCGCGTGGCCCGAATTCCCTGCAGGGACTGGCTCCAGGGTCTCTTTGTTCTACAACACCCGTTCCTACACGAGATGAAGTCAGCTTACCTCGCGCAATCTATGTACCACCACCAACATGCCGATTCACTCGCACTGGGTTCGCCCAGTGCTACCCTTGCGGATTCGAGGCAATGATGAGAGCTCTTCCCGAAGGGATGAGAGTAATCCTCCTCTCGCGGTAAGCTGACAGCCACTCGGCGATGAATCTGCATTCTGATTCACACATATTCTCCGCTTTGGAGTCTCCGAGGAATGCAAGTCATCCGCACAGGCGCCAATGGGCTTGAGCAAAGCATAGTTATTGGTCGGGATTCTGATTCGACGTATTCCCAGGACTAACCAAGTCTCCCAATTTCTAACAGATCAATCTTCTCTACCCCCTTATGAAATCATATTGCGACCTATACTCTCTAGCAATGCAGTATTGTCATCATTCCGCTCATGCTCCACGCAGATCAGACATTCCGATCAGCTCAATTCCCCGATCTGACAACGATTGACATTGGCCTCTTCACAAATCCACCATTGAGAGAAGGGTTCCATGACAAGCTCCATGATTTCGTCATCGAGTGTCACGTCCACACAACAATGCCTTTAGTAATCGACGATCACGGTCCCCAAGCAGTGGAAAACCTGCCACATATATTCTGTACATAACGTAGCATCACCACCTCAAGCCACAAAGCCAGTTCCATATAAGCTTAGCCCACATGCCACGAACAGGAATGCCCAGATTGTGAAGAATGGGTATTGCTCACTTTAAGGCTCGGGCCGTAAGAATTCAGTTAAGTCTACAGGGATCGTTTCTTGGTAACTCGCACGGAAACTACAAGCGTCATGCTTTACAGCCGAAGACGAAGACAGATCCAGAACAAACCGGGGGTAACAACGGGTTAGAACGCTACAAGTATCTGCTTCCACTGCAACACAACAAAATCCTTTCAGTAAAATTCACTCCATCCAATCCTGTCTAAAACCCAGCTGGGACAGATAATCCACATGCCCGGCTGCTAGCGAAGTATACCGCCAGATATCAGGATACATATCCACCCTATCCGAGATCTGCAGACTTTGATTTGCGAATGTAAAAAGCACCTTCAGCCGCACGGAATCTGCATCCACCGAATCTTCGACGAGTCGCTGAAACAGGGCCGCCACATAGTCGATCTCTTCACCTGTTATTGGCTCTTTCTCATATGCGGCTGTCCCGTCCAGGATGCAGATAACTTGTATATTTGGAGGAACCTGCAGAACGAGTCGTCTGAATAGCTCACAGAGCGCTTTGATGTTGTTGCTCTCGCAGGCGTTGAGGAACCCTCTACCCAGAAATTGAAGGCTTGGCGTGGCAAGCTTGTCGCTGAAAAGAAGCTGGGTGATGAGACTTCGCATCATCCCTGTCGGGCCGCTGAGTTCGGGATCTTCTTGGTCGTCGTGTAGTGATGCGAAGAAGAATAGAGGTAGACAGTCGGGACTGCTGATCAGGCTGTATATGAATGTTGAAGCAAATATTGACATTGGTGTGACCATTATAGCTGGATTGGTATCTAGACGGCCATCTACTAGGAGGAGTGATGATTGTGGGGCCCGAAGCCATTCAGTAAACTCATCGGTTTTGGCGAGCCATCGCACACGTCCGAGGTATGAGGATTTGAGTCTACTGCCTTCTTGGAGAACGATCTCAAGGTCTTGGGCTGGGGTATGTGGTGAGACGCCCAATATTCCGAGTAGTTCAATTGGGGTGACTGTTGTAGATGTTGAGTCTCGAGAATTTGTGCTGCTTAGAGAGAGGGATGATTGAAGAGCTTCGTTTTCATGTGCCAGATCCGAGTAGGCTAGTCAGAGATGATTAGTATCATCAAAGGATGATGCGCGTAGAGCAATCTTACCGCGTTGCAGGAGAAAGATTTGACCCTGTTGGACCTCATATTGCTCCCGAGACTCCTTACATAGCGCCTTGAACTCATATAGTAGCTCTGTCATAGCCTGTGCACCGGATTGCTCTTTTTGAAAGGCAAAGACCTCCCGATACTCAGCTCCAACCTGCTTCTTCACTTCGGTGACAAGGTCTTTGATGTCGCTGCGCGCTCCCTGAAGCTCCGTGTGAAGAGTCTGGATGTTGGAATTTGCTTCCAAGCCCAAGCGGTGCGATTCGCTGCTGTGATAGGCCGTAGCAGCAGTGATCTTGACTTTCATGCGTTCCAATCGCTCTTTGATGGTTACGAGGTAACGGTTCCAGTCGGAGAGTACCTGGTCGACCGTGAGAGTCTCTCGGATTCTCAGGGTGAGGGACTCTGTGACCTTTCGGTACCCTGGAACCAAGTCCGTAAGCTAAAGACCATGTCGAATGGAGAAACTATGAACCCACATGGCTGCCTCTTTAACAAAACATCAAGCAATCCGGGTAATGTCCTAACAAGGGTTCTACAAAACTCCCTACACAATTCCTCGTCATCGGCTGTGGGGTTCAAGTAGTTATAGGCGGTCTGGATTGTCAGAACAGTCTCAGGCACGGTCTCGAAGGCTTCCAAGATTTTGGCGCGGTTTTCTACACCTCGTTTCGCAGTCTAAGAACTCAATGTCAGCGAAAGCAGTCTGCCGCCATTTACCGATATACGACAAAATGTTACCTCGAATACGAGTCCCAACACCCCCTTCACAACACTCAGTCCGTATTCGTCAGGTATGGCATCTTTCAAGGGAGCTAACATGCCAAGGCCCTGGACAGCAGTAGATGTATAATCTTTGCGAGATGATGCCACATCTTTTGCTTCGTCTAGTGTCCTCAGAACCATCTGCCATGTGTAGTCATAGAATCTTGGCTCCTCCGGAGGCGCGATGGCATCATGATGCTTTAAAAGTGTTTCAAGATCTCTGGTGATGCATTAGACCATGCACACGTTGAGCATCTGCATGCACATGTATCATTATGGATGGTCGCACCTAATTGTCGCCAGCTCGGCGGGAATGTACTTCTCTTGCTGCTCATCGAATTCGCTCTCCACCGCAAAGGCGGGGTGGAAGTCACGCCCCCGCTCCTCAATCCACGCCCGACTCTTTGCCGTCCCCGTCTTGTCCGCTGGGAGCGACTTTGGTTTTCGGCGACCATGGAAGAAGTGTGTCATATCGGGTGATGTTATGCATCCAGATGAAGACCGCCATAATCCTGCGGATCCCTGATGAATAATATGTAGAAATGGGATGGGGTGTATGTGAGTCTGTCCTCCGTGCTCTAGCCCTCTACCCGAGTCATGCTACTATCAAGCCTTCTGACTATGTTTGCTTTTAGATACGAGGTCCATAAGCCCTAGTGGCCGTATTTTCTAAGCTTACCCAATCGATGCATGACAGGTGTGAGCGCTTAACAATCAGCGCAATTGAACCATGTGGTTAATGCGTTCGTGAAGGAGGTGCTCTGACGGCTTGGCCCCTGACGAATCCTTCGTGAGCACTAGTATAGATCCCGCGTCTGGTGACTGGTCGCATTGAGCTCGCAAATCCACTTCATCCCTCCTATCACTGTCTTCCATTTCTGCAGCCGCGCTGTGGCAGCGGCTTCCCCCGCCCCTTTGGCGTCGATACGAGGCACTGAAGATGCCTGATAACGAACTTATAAATCAGTGCGAGCAATGAAGTGGGTGAAAGCATTTCGGAAAACCTTCTCGGCTAGAGGAGGTCACCAGGCTCAGGGCACATCTGAGTGCGATGGAGGTCGTAAATCAGTCAGCGCCTTCGGAGCGTGTGCCGGCATCAGAGGAGGACGCCATAGATGGGTTTGGAGAGGCGGAAATACCTGAGGTTGTGACTGAAAAGCAGGAGGCCAGTACTCAGACTATCCAGGAAGATAATGAAGAGCGAAGTTCTCACCGTGAGGAGACGGATGATGGCGCCGATAATGATGAAGATGACGATACCAACGAGGAGGACAATGAGGAAGACGACAGCGACAGCGACAGCGACACGACAGACGTTGAGAGCAAAGCTGATGATGATACGTGGCTCAATGGATCTGCTTTCAACGAGCGGAAAATTAACGTGGGCGTGAGATACTATGATTACCCATCCTTCATGAACCGGTCCGTGGACGACGATGCAGATTATACGATAGAAGCCCTGATCAGTACTTCCGACTGGTGGAAGGACCTGGAACGGGAAAAGAAAAGGCGCGCTGCGAATCCATCACCGTGGACTGAGACTGTTGAGGTGGCACCGCCGACGGAAGGAGTTGCTGAGACCTTGCAACTCCAACGTGTGAGGATCCGCTCCCCAGAGATACTTCGTCGGCTTTCTGAACTCGGAGAGTGGAACGAAAGCAGCATGGTTCCCCCCAAATCCGATTGCGTATTCTGCCGTCCGTTTCACGCTCTCGCCTACTTTAATGGTGAAATAAAAAAGCAGCTGGAGCAATTAGAGTCTGACTTGGACGACTCACACGCAAGACCTAAGCCTTCAGAAGACAATCAATTGGATGATTCGCGAAAAACTTCAGAATCTGCTATTCGGGACGAATTGCGATGCTATGTCACCTTTGTGGAAGAGAAGATTCTACCTCTTTGGAAGAGATTTGAACATGTCACCAAGAATACTCCGAACAAAGTCAGATATGATGAGCTGCCTTTTCTTTTCCGCCCGGGCGATCTTGTCTTTGTTCCATCTGTGGCCACCAGTTCAAAAGCACGTCATCAGTCTGCTATCCAGAACGTCTTTCGCCTGGCCTCACTGCGGCCCGAAGACCACATGTGGCAAACGGACCCAGGTGGCTGGTTTGTCCCGAATTCGCTAGCGAGGTGGAGCATCTATTGCTTTGACCATGATGGAGAGCAGTTGAAAGTTATATGGCAGTCTCTAGAGGTCCCCCATTTCGCCGGCGAGCAAGACATTACTGCCTTGCCATGTTACCCTCTGCGTTACCATCCCGATCATGCGACGATTCTCAAGATGCAGGTTGAGAGTGGAAAGCTTTTCAAGGAGCTCGTGAAGCCAGAGAACAAACATCAGTACTATTCTGGCTGGAACCTCTCAACAGGTATCTTCAAGGAGAGCATGGAGCTCGCTGAACCCGAACACATAGAAAGTGAGGTCATTATAGATGTGAAGGAAGCCTCGCGATACGTCACTGAGACATACCCCACCGACACTAAGCGTTATGAGGAAACGTTCCATGATTCATGGGCTACGGTTGTGGATGAAAATGTCTCATATCGGCTATGGAGAAAAGCTTCGCCCCATTTTATCGAGAAAAACGAAAACTTGCTTGTCCGAGAAGATTTTACATATGCAAAGGAAGCGCAAGCCTACATGAAGCAGAACCCATACATTGATAACAATGACACATTCTCAAAACCAACATGGTCCGATGAAGATCTGGCCCTTCTTCCACGGAGAGTCCTTGGATACGTCTTACGCGAGAGGAGATTCACGCGCTTGGATGTTCGCGGCTTTGACTTGCGCCGGGTATCTGAAGAGAGGATTACCCTAGACCATGTCCAGATAAAGCCTGGACATCGGAGGATCATCCGATCGACTGTTTCTTCTCACTTTACAAAGATCCACCATCAACGCTCTCGTGATGCCATATTGTATACGCCGGACATGATCCGGGGAAAGGGACGAGGCCTGGTGATCCTCCTGCACGGAG